AGCCGCCACCACCTCCTGTGGCAGTGAATTCCATGTGTGAATCACTCTTTGGCTGAAGAAGTACTTCCTTTTATCCGTTCTAACCCGACCGCTCAGCAATTTCATGGAGTGCCCATGAGTTCTTGTATTGTGAGAAAGGGAGAAAAGTACCTCCTTCTCTCTCTAAGTTGAATTACCTGGGTAAAGTAATTGAGCTGTGGTGGTAGGAAAATTCTAGTTTTTCCTGGATGCCTTACCTGCTCTCAACCCCATTTATTTATTAAGACATGTGTTAGCTGCCTTTCTTCCTTGTGGACCTCAAGGTGGCTTATACACGTAGATTAAACACATCAAATACAATACATTAAAAGCATAAAGCTAAATTTTAAAATGACCGTTTGGGACGGCTGTCAAACTTTAACAAATGCAGTACTGCATAAAATCGTCTTTAACTGCCCCCTGCCCAGTGTTCCCTCTAAGCTGCGTTAGTGTGAGCTAGCTCACAGATTTTTAGCCTCCAGCTCACAGGTTTCGGCCTTCGCTCAGGAAGGGATGGCTCCAGAGCAAACTTGATTTATGCAGCAGCCAAGTCGCTCGCTCACAACTTGAATGCCAGTAGCTCACAAGGTAGAATTTGTTGCTCACAAGACCCCCACAGCTTAGAGGGAGCATGCCCTAAAGATCGAAAGTGAGGAAGCCAGGCACACCTCCTTCCCTGTGATCTTAATTCTTGGGCAGGAAAGTACAGGAGAAGACCGTGGTCCCAAGCCTTTCGTTTTAGCTTTAGACTGCGTTATGGGACATGTGGGACTTTGGTCTGAAGGGAGGGACTGATTCTGAAACCACTAGAATAGAATCAACAGTCTTTCTAGCTGCTTGGTGGCAATGCCTGGCAAAAGAGGTAACTTGGGTCCAGAAAGTCTGGAGCCTGCAGATGATATGGTATCTCTCCTAAGTTGGTGGGCCATGAATCAAGGCAGTCCTTGATTCATGAAACAAACCTCCGAAGGCAGGAAGATTGTTCTAAACCTGATCTCAAAACAAACCTACGGAGGCAGGAAGATTGTTCTAAACCTGATCTCAGATCCAGCCTCCTCCTCAATTCATAGCGTGTGCAGACTCAAGGGGCTTCCTGTATCTCTCGCCTTGTGTCTTGTAAAGAATGAATCTGGGGGGGAAACCGGCTTAGTGCACCTGGAGGGTTCCCCCTGAGCCGCCGGAGCATCTTTCATGCTGCTCCTCTTGTTGTTTTTTGTGTTTTTGTGTCGTCTCCATTCCCGTGTTGCTTGAGGGAACCGTATGGGCCGGGTTGATGACATGGTTACTTCTCGCATCAGTGCCGCTCCCTAGGGAGTGGTGGTGCTCATGTGGGAAGTAATCACACTGACTCATTCTGTGTGTTGCCCTGATTCAAGTGTAAACAGTGGCATGGGTTCTGCGCACGCAGAAGCACCACTGATGGTTGCACAACCAGTACCTGAGTTTGGTGAAAGTGATGGGAACTTATCTTTTTAATAGATTATTGTTTGTTCTTAGTTTAAATCTCTGAAATAATCGTGAAACTTCGCTGATTTGAAATCTAATTATGGTCTTTTAAAAAAAATAAAATGAAGACAAGTGTGTCAGCCTCTGCAGAGAAATAGAGGTCAAAATCGCATGCCTGTATATGGAACTTAAAGACTTCAGTATATTTAGGAGCCTTAATTGTGTGATATGGCGTGTGTCTTCAGTAAGTGTTTGTCATTGTAGTGAATGCTGGAGCTTTAGCTTAGAGTCTGGAATCTAATTGCAAGGTGGTTATTATTCTGTGCTTCCGGTAAATTTAAGCCTATTGAGACAAAAAAAAAAGCCCCATCCCCCTAATGGATTGTAGGAGCCCATTTCCTCTAAGAGATATGAGGACAGCTGATACATCAGACTTTGCTTGCAAAAATAGTTCTGCTGAGGAGGGCAGAATGTAGACTTCTTTCTGCCATCTGGGAAATAAAACCACAAACAAAAAAAACCCCACCCCAGACAATGCCTTTTGTGTGGTTTTATCATCATCCAGCATTACACATTTCCATAAAAGTTGATCTTTCTTCTTCTAGCGACTCATCTCACTGCTCATGTCAGGCTTTCTCACCAGGTAAAAATCAAAAACCAGTCATCTCACCTGGCAGATGAGAGTCAGTATACTCAGGTCACTGCGTGGTATCCCTCATGTAGTTTAACCCCATTTTATTCTTTCCTGTTATATTCCATGGACAGGGAAGGTTAACAATGAAATCTCTTTATTTCTGCCTCATAACGAGCGAAACTGGTTTGCTCAGGTTTACCCATGGAGCAATGTTCCCTGTAAGTTGTGGAGTCTTGTGAGCAAAAATTCTACTTTCTGAGCTACTGGCATTAAAGTTGTGAGTGAGCCATTTGGCTGCTGCATAAATTAGTTTGCTCTGGAGCCATCCCTTCCTAAGACAAAAATGTGTGAGCCGGAGGCTAAAAAACTGTGAGCCTAGCTCACACTAACTCAGCTTAGAGGGAACACTGCCATGAAGTTACACAGCTTTCGTATTTTAAGCTGCCTGGCGAACAAGCTACAATCGAGAACCTTGGTGTGTGTGAGGAACTGTTATGGTACATTTAAAGAGGAAGACTGTTACAGAAAGGATTTGAGGAAAGTATGACCAGTGTTTTCTTATCTAGGACTTCTGCAACCTTCTGGTTTGGGGAAGACTGGTTCTGCTAGTGAAGCCTCATCTTCATAATTACACCTGTCTTATAATTAGGGAGGATGGAATTAGCAGCGGTTAAGAGATTCTGGCCCATCAGCTGCGAACAGTAAATCATCCTCAGTTGAAATTTAAAAATGGTTAGGTCCAAGGACCCATCTCCTCTATGCTAAGAGTCTACTCAGTTAGCTAAAGAGTCCTCACTTATTGGAAGAGACTTCTCGGATCAAGCCCTGTGGCTGCAATAGGATGTGACCGTTAATGTAATTCTCAAAATCTTTGGATAAAGGGGTGGGGAGGAAAGGGGTATGTTACCGTAATGAGTATGGGTGTTTTCTCTCCCTCTTTCAAAATAAATTGCAGTCTGTACTGTATTACATGTAGCAGAAACGAAGGGAAAAGACATAATTTATTCAGGCAAAGTGGAGGTAATGTTGGTTGGGAAGGCAAACTGCTTGGTACTGATTTACCAGCCATAATTGGGTTTGCAACCTGTTGCTTTATTAAGTTACCCTCCACTAAGGAGAAATCTGTCAAATGAAATAAGTTATGGTCCTACAGAAGCGACATATTATAGACACTGTGCTTGCATCACTAAGTAAATATTTTTTAAAATTTCCTTTGCAGGCCCAAAGGGCAATTTTCTTTAGTTTTGAGAGGTGTGACTGGTTTTACATTTCATTTATTTGGGCCCAGTCAACTGGTGTAGGAATACCTGAGCTTCAACAGTGCTGCAGTTTATACAAGTGTAGTCCTTTGGATGGAAGGCTCACTTAAGAGCAGAATGCAAGTATAATTTTTTTTAAAAATCAGATATTTAATCAGTGTGCAAAGAATTAAAAACCATAAAAGCACAGTTAGAAACAATTAATACTTTTCTGCTGTTGATTTAAAACGTCTCTGTTCTTTTAAAAAATCTGAGTTGATTCACGGGGAAGGTATCCTTGGAGGTACACGTAGGTTAGCCCTGCCTCTGAAGTTACTCAGTGTATCATAGAATCATAGAGTTGGAAGGGGCCATACAGACCATCTAGTCCAAACCCCCCTGCCCAATGCAGGACCAGCCGAGAGCATCTTACGGATCTAGTTATGGTATTAATCGCCCTGGTTGTTACTACATTTCTGTCGAAGTACTTGTATTTCTGTATTTCACTTCACTGTATTTTAAAAGCACTCCATTTATGTTCTCCGAGTGCCATTGCGCATCATTAATCGTATGACATTTGCCTAATGCAAAAAAAAAGAAGAGTTTGTGAGACAATTACTCGTGTCTTCTACCCACTGCGTAAAAATTCAAGTGCCATTGCGCATCATTAATCGTATAACATTTGCCTAATGCAGAAAAAAAAAGAGTTTGTGAGACAATTATTCGTGTCTTCTACCCACTGCGTAAAAATTAAATGCCTTCCGAATACATCTCAGCATATATTTCTAAGCACAGTGCAGCTGCCTTGAGGTAGGGTTTCCAGCTCCAGGTTGAAAAACTCCTGGAGATTTGGGGGTGGAGCCTGGGGAGGACAGGGACCTCGGTGGGACACAATGCCACAAAGTCTGTCCTCCAGAGCCTCGATTTTTCTCCAGGAAAACTGATCTCTGTAGTCTGGAGATGAGCTGTAATTCCGGGGGATCCCCAGGTCCCACCTGGAGGCTGGCATCCCTACCTTGAGGTGCTCCCGGCACACACTCACCTTCTGATGCCCTAGGCAGTGGCCTCGGGCGACTTAGTGGTCACGTCACCACTGTTGGTCTCTACAAGAAGTAAGATTTAGAGATCGGGATCAACCACCAATGATTTTATTACTACTTCCTTCCCCCCATCACTCCTCCAGTGTGTCCACTGTTCATAAAGTGTCTGGAAAAGGAATGTTGCAGGGGTATATAGTAGTGCCATAAAGACTAACAAGTTTATTCCAAAAACTTTCCATGCGCAAGCAGTCACTTCCTCAGATGGATAGGAGAATACATCCATTGGATCTGCTTCTATATGTAGAGCAGAAGGGGGAAGGAACGCTACAAAGAGAGGCTGGTGTAGACCAAGGTCCAGTTGAAAGGAGTCATCTGCTTACTTAGAGTGGGTGTGAGAACCTCCCGGCTAGCGGGCAAAGAAGAATAAACTGTAGATCTAATGTAGGATGAAAGGGATAGTGAGATTCTCTAATAGAACATAACGCTTGTTATATATAGACCCATGTAAGCACATTTAGATTTTGTTGGGTTTCTGTGGGAAATAAAAGGGTGTTTAACTTTGTTTGGTTTGAGACAGCACAGTTCCCAAAGAAACTTTAAAACAGATTAATAAACATTGATTGACTAATAGTAGGGCTATCTAGGTTTTACATCTCAAAAATTGTGTTAATACTGGAACTAGTATTATGGTTTTTTGGCATTTCTTGCCAACTTAATTATTTTCCTCTGTTGGTAGTAAAAGCTTTATTTAATAAGAGACTGTATGTATGTGTGTGTGTACACATGCACACACACACACACACACACACGCTAAGCCTTTATGGAAGTAAGATGGCTCAATAATGGAATATGCATCAGTTCATTTAATTCTCAAAATGGCATCATCTGTGGATACTTAAATCAAGAGATGGGGGCCACAGACAGAAAAGACAGATCTTTCTATAAACCTGAGAAAATTTAGACTTGCAGGAAAATGTACAGTCTAAAAAAGGGGATATTAAACCTCCAAAATGACAGAAGCAGCACCTGTAGCTTTAAGAAAGCAATGCTCTCAGTGGCTGTTACTAGGCAACCACAACAGTTTTGCCAACCTTCAGTCCTTGGTTTCTGTCACTAAAAGGCCAAAGAAGGAAGCAGGGCTGTTTTGACATTTGAGGGAGGACTCATTGAGGCCAAGCCTGGCAGCAACCACTGGGCAACTTGCCACCACCTGACTTGCACAACTCAACCAAACCTAGTTGCTTGCTACTATTCAGCAGCATCCAACTCACAAAAGTCAGTGAGGGTGGGGAGGGCGGGGTAAAAATCAAATAAATAAATAAGTAGTTAAGGGTTTCAGATTTGGCTCTGGGAGACCCAGGTACAAATCACCTCTCTGCCTTGGAAGTTTCCTGAGTATCTTGGGGGCGGTCACACACTCTCAGCCTAACCCATGTTGCAGGGTTGTTATGAAGAAAAACTGGAGGGAGTTAAAAAGAGCATTCCTCCAGGAGATCTGCAACAGTTGCCTAAATATAGACGTTAAGTTTTATCAGCAAGATGCAATTCGCTTTAAACAGTCGAGTATATTGGAAGACTTAAAGCCATTCCCTAGATGGGAAGAAAGTGTTCTCGCTCTTCTGGAGCAATAGAAACTGTCTCACAGATATTGTTCCATTGTCTCTTGTTTGTTAAAGCCAGGCGCCGAGACATTGGGAACTTTTGTTAATTCTGATGTTCAGTGTTCTAGTAATTATATCATCTTGAAATTGTTGATTTCTAATGGTATAGATTGGTTGGAAGCTTTTGCCAGATCTTTTGCACACGTTTTTAAATAGTTGTAATCAATGTAATCTAAGCTGTGGAGTCCTGTGAGCAAAAATTCTACTTTTGTGAGCTACTGGCATTACAGTTGTGAGCGAGCGATTTGGCTGCTGCGTGAATTAGTGCGCCCTGGAGCCATCCCTTCCTGAGCTAAGACAAAATAAATCTGTGAGCCGGAGGCTAAAAAACTGTGAGCTGGCTCACAGTAACTCAGCTTAGAGGGAACACTGGTTTTAATATTCAATTATTCATTGATCTGTTTTTCTTTTTCGGAATCCTACCACCCTATGATTGAAGGGATAGGAAATAATACAAATTTTTAAAAATAAAATAAAAATGGACGACAGGAGAATGATCTAAGCCACGTAAAAATGTACCCATTGGGGAGAAAGGCGAGTGTATAAATGAAGTAAACAACGTAGCTGAAGAATGAAGGAAGCAGGGAAAGTTGAGGATTTGGGCCTGTCAGGAGGAGAGAGAGGAACTAGTGTGGGGAGGAAGTTATGGGGGAAAGGGAGGTTCCCCACCCCACCCCGCGGGTCCTTGTAGGTTCTTCACTGTGCAACTAGGTCGGTGACTGACACCAGACAACTTGGCCAGAGTTTTTCCAGGAAGAGGCTGGACTGAAAAGGAATTGATATCTTCATCTGTAATTGAAATTGTCTTCTACTTTAATGTACAGTGTAAACAGCAGAGTGACCTGTAATTTTTCTAACACACTAGGCCAGAAAAGAGTTCATTTTTGATGGTCAGCCCCCCCCCCACGAGGATTAAAAATGGAACATTCTCTAACTGTACAGTCTATATCGCGCAAAGAATTATTTTAAAAATGAAGTCTTTTTGCTTAATTTCTAACTACAATGGTTTAATAGGACACATTTTGATATACTCAATAACACATCTTTAAGCAAAACAGTTTTTCCATACCTTAGGAAATGCTTTTATATTTTTTCACCCCAGTTCCAGCTTCATTCATATTGTAGATTCATTGTCAAAAAAATTTGCTTTTAAGGTCTGGAGTCTGTGTTGAAAGAAGGTGTCAGGAACGTTTCCATCAGATAATCTGTCGTGTCTTCTAGTGGACCAGTTCTTAATTTTTATTGAGTTCTGAATAGTTTCTGACGTGAAGTAGTAAATTACGGGGTCGAAGCAACAGTTTGAAATGGCAATGCACAGCGTGATTGGGTACATAGTCCTGATGGCAGTAATGACCGAACAGTTAATCCACGTCTGCGTTCTCATGAGTGAATACAGTATCAGAGTAATGTTATAAGGCACAAAACAGAGACAGAATATCAGCAAATGGACAAAGATCATTCTGAGAACCTTCTTCTTGCTTAACTTATTCCGGTGCAACGTAACTGGCTTATTCAGAGTCCTTAAAACCATTGTAGAGCAGGTCACATTCAGAATCAGTGGGATGAAAAATCCTACAGTTTCAATGAAGATAACAATCCTCGAAAGATAGGTTTTCCAGGTCTCGTCAGAAAAGTTTTCGAAGCATGTGTTTTGTTTCACTCCTTCTGTGCTGACCCGAGCGTTGGTCGACTGAAAGAAGCTTCCCGGCACGCTTCCTGCTATCACGGTGACCCAAATTGCAACACAGACTATCCTTGCATTTCTTTTTGTCCGGACAGTTTTAGAACGAAACGGGTACACGATAGCTAAAAAGCGGTCGAAGCTTATACTGGTCAGGAAGAAAATGCTCCCATACATGTTTATGTAAAAAAGCATGACCGAAATCTTGCAGAGTATGTCGCCAAAGGGCCAGTCCTTTGTTGTAAAATAATAGATTCTGAAGGGTAACGTGAACACAAAAAGTAGATCCGATATTGCTAAATTAAGCATGTATGTTGTAGTTTCGTTTCGGACTTTTAAAGCACAGGTAAAAATGTATATGGCGACACAGTTTGACAGTAAACCGAGGACAAATACCATACTGAACATACATCCATATAAAGTGTACTTAAAGGAGTCTTCAGTGGAACAGTTGGAGCTTACCATCTTTATGGGGAATTTATCTTTCCAACTTGGGCTTCCTTTAGTAAAGCTGCATCGCCTTGTATGTTGCTGTAACCACAGTAAAATCCTCAGAGGGCTTGTAGATACATCTGGACTTCAGATGCTTTTGTGCACATTCAGCTTTTCTTCAAAACCTTGACAGCTGAATTGATTTTGGAAGCCACCATCCTGCTAGTGTCAGCAAAGAGCACTTTTCTTCTAACACCATCGTAGTTCAATTAGGCACACCTTGGACAGCAGTAAACATTTCCTTCTACACAAGATCCACCGTCCTTGAGCTCGGTTAAAACCACGTTCTCGCTTTCTCCACGTGTTGCCAACCTGGCTGCAGAAGTCGGTCTTTTCCTGCAGGGAAGCAGATAAATCATTTGCAGAGGTTGCCTGCAAATAACAGCGCCGGAGTTCCTTGGGGGAAGTGGCTCCCTTGTCTCAGCGCGAGGCTGTCCTTCCTGCCTTTGTGTGGTTCAACAAGCTTTTCAACTTGTCTGAGCGACGGGAAGCGAGCGCAGGAGTAAAATTCCACAGCATGTCTTTTCTTGCTGAATTAGAACTTTCTCCACAGATACAGATTATGTGGTGTGTGTTGCTTAATGTGCCAAAGGGATGAGGGGGGACTCCCCACACACACTACCTACGGTTTGGTTTGTAAGCTGACATCAGAGGAAGAGGAGGCTGGGCTAAAACAAAGGACGGTTTCAGCTTTCAGTTCCTTTTCATGTAAGGGTTTTTTTTTTATGACTTGGTTCACTAGCAATATACTTGGCCTGGGGAAGCATGCAAATGATTGTGTGTGACACAGGAGAACCCCATTAACAGACAAGCATTGCTGCTAACGTGGATATATAAGTGAGTGGATCTTAGATCTTATACCTCTGCCAATTGATTAAAGGATTTTAAAAAAATTAATCAAGCCCTTCCCATTTAACAGATGTACTAGGTACAAGTTTTATCTGTGTATTAATAAAATGTCAAGGTATGTGCCTTTTTGTGACATTGAAGAACATATAAGAATTAATTGCAGCTTTAATAAGGCGCTGTGTACTGTTAGAAAAAAAGCCATTTTGCTTTCTTTCTTTTTTAAAAAAACCTTTCTTTTGCCTCTTCATAAAAAGGGCAGCTCAATATAATGGGGAAAGTTTTCCATTGATGGAAGTGGAGCAGCTCTATAATGACTTTCTAAAGCCCCAGGGGGAATCTGTTGGAACTATAGGCGTGTCAATGACCTCCTCCTCATTAGCAGATGAACTGGCTTATCAAGAAGTGAGAACGGTGCCAACTTTTGAAAAGTCTTCATTAATGGGTACTGCAAAGCAAACATCTCGAACACACGTGCACATTCTCATTTTCAAGTAGAAGTACATTTTAAACTTCTTCAAAACTGATCCATCATGTAAGTTGCCAAAGAGCCACAGAGTATTTTTCAGACATTGTAAAATAACGGCACTGACCTGAATAGCCCAGGCCAGCCTGATCTTGTCAGATCTTGGAAGCTAAGCAGTGTCAGTCCCGGTTAGTACTTGGATGGGAGACCACCAAGGAAGTCGAGGGTCACTATACAGAGCCAGGCAATGGCAAACCCCCTCCAAACGTCTCTTACCTTAAAAACCCTGTGGGGTCAACCATAAGTTGGCTGGTACTTGACGGCACTTTCCACCATACTTTTCAACTGGTGATTCACTTAGCAAGGAGATCCAGTTATGGATTCTGTGGGTGACAGCAACAGCCAAAAGATTAGTCCTGTAGTGATGGAAACCCTTTACAATACCATATATAGAAAATTGGCAAGAAGGTAGCTTGGACTTAGTGTACAGTGTTATCCAGAGAAGGTGCCTCCAAGACGTTTATCTGCTTTTCCACTTCATGCCACAGTGGAGCTGTTGCTTGGACAGATTCACAGAGATGCATAAGGACTGAAAAATATACACGTGGTCCAAAGGTTTGCGCTTTAACTTTGTGCTCCTCTTGTTCTGTACTTTGCTCTCATTTAAGGCATTTGAAATGTAGAGCTCATGCAGCACTGATTTGCGTCCTCTCTGAGAAGATTACTATCGATGTGTTCCGTTGACTGCTTGAGGTTTGCACTTCAATATGAGTTGTGTGATTCAAAGGCAGATGGGGTTTCCGAAGACTATTCAGCGTTTTGCTTGCAAATCCAGCATTTCTGTAAGCCCCAGTATATCCGCAGGCAAACTACTGGCATTTCATTGCCTTTGAAAAAAAAGGGTTACTTGAATTTTTTTTTTTAAACTGCAGAAGAACCAAGAAGAGAAGCCTGCAAAATGAAGCTTGAATTATTTTCTTGCTGGTTTTGTCCTTAAGCAAGGCACTTTATTAGTCTGTTGTTTCCTTATCAATATATTGCTGCTGTGTTTGTGTACCTGAACTGATCCTTGCTATGGTAACCTCAAATAGAATTCGGAGTTGTGTGCTTTGCCTTCGGTTTTCGCGATAGCGTGTCTAGGGACAGGTGCTGTGATATTGACTTTGTTTCTTGCTCACAATGCCCACGAAATGCAATATATATATATATTTATTTTTTAAAAGAAACTTGGCACCTTAAGTGTCCCTTGAAAGCTTCGAGCAGGAGTTGAAGATAATTTGTATAAACTTGTTTATGCCCAAGCCTGATGAAGTAAATATTTTATGTAGATTAAAAGTGAATAGAGCACAAAGTTCTCTTTTAAGGGCCCCCTAAGCCTTTTGTACAAAGTTCAGCTGCAGCAGTGTTGAGCGTTGGACCCTGTGAAGTCTTGACTAGAGAAATCGTTAGTGTTGTTGTTCAGTCGCACAGTTGAGTCCGATTCTTTGTGACCCCGTGCACCACATCACGCCAGGCCCTCCCGTCTTCCGTCGTGCTCCGGAGTTTGCTTAATTTCATGTTCGTTGCATCGATAACACTGTCTAACCATCTCATACTTTGTTAGTAGCTCCTCTTTTAATCCTTAAAAAAACCCGAGGAACTGTGGAGGCAAATGCATACCTTCGGGACCGCCTCTCTCAGTATGCCCCCAGCAGAGCGTTACGCTCTGGCAGTAAAAACGTCCTGGTGGTCCCTGCCCCGAGAGAGATCCAACTGTCCTCAACAAGGGCTGAAAGAGCCCAGCCCCCACAGGGCTTGTAAGGCAGAGATGTTCCGCCAGGCCTTTGGTTGAGGGCAGCGTTGGGACAGCAACTAAACTGGCACTGCCACCTTCGCTCTTCTGTTTCCCCGCTTGCATTGGTCAATTTCACACTATTTGCTGAGCGGCCACATTTTGACCTGCAGCTCCCCGCAATTTCCCCCATGTCTTCTCAATCTCAAAAAACAAGTACTGTAAAAAAAATTGCACAGTAACTGTCAGGCCTAACTGCAGATTGATGAAGCATCACGCAAAAAGGATCTGGATACAGTAATTTCTACGAGGTTATATATGAATTTTAATGGTTTGTATTTTAATGGTTTGTATTTTATGACTTTGGGTCTTGTACACTGCCCAGAGCCCAGCATAAGCTGGGAAAGGGCAATTAACAAATAATAATAATAATAATAATAATAATAATAATAATAATAATAATAATAATAATAATAATAATAATAAACAACTGAATTGGGTCGAAATCAAGGGGGACATTTGAAGAGAAGCACTTCACATGTACAGATCTTGGTGGCGTTGAAGTGGCTTCTTAGGAGCCATTTCAAGTGTTCATTAAGACATTTGAGGTGGTCTTGGACCTCACTGTGCTTGTCTTGTGCAGCCCGACACGTACTCTTATAGTAAAGCTTGGTCGTTTTCTGCATCGTCCAGTGCTGTTCAAGCAAAGGGAAACAATAAGGATGTTCCCACTGTTGTTAATCATACAGTAGGGGTATAGTATATTAGGCATTATTAGGAGTTGTGGGTCTTTTTGTTTTGTTTTTTTGCCGTTGATGAGTGGGTTCGTACGTGAAGCAAACACATTCAGCAGTCAGTATAATGCCTTCGGGGTGCTCATGACTGCCACCATGTAACCTCTCCCCCACTTCTTATTTGCTAGTAAGAGGAGAGTATTCAGTCATTCCCAAGAACGGAAATGAATCATTTTATATAGACTCCTTGGCAGCCGCTTCAGTTATTTTGTTTAAATATGTAATATTAAGAATGGATGAAGAACGGGTGGTAATGGATGAAGGGCCTGTTGTGTTTTTGTTGTCACAGTTTAAAAAAAAAATTCTGTTGCAAGTGGCAGTTAACAAGGGTGGCAGTTTAGGATATTGCAGGCTTGCAGACCGATGCGCAATTTCTCCGAAATCTCATGGATTTCAACAGAATTTGCTCCCAGTTAAGTGCGTATAGGACTTACCCCAGCAGTGAATTTGTTCTCCAGATTGATAATGTGGCTTCTGTACTTTAGGCTGTACGTTCCCTCCTGGAAGTGGGTGTTTTTAAAAAAAAGGCATCTGGGCCCCTTCTGCCCGGTCCTCACTTTTAATTTTGTCTGTCACTGCGTCACCCACTTCTTGGGAAACAAGGATCCCCTCCCCCTTCTTTGGAGGACAAAAATTCCTCACCGAAGCAAAACCTGGCAACAGGTGCTCCGGAGGATCTGTAGAAAGTTCCAGGAGAAGCACTCTGTTTCAGCAAGGGAACATGGAAACTCTTCCTTGGCGGGGTGGGGGACACGTTTCTGCACTTGGATCTTCTCGTTGTGGTCAAGGGCGCATCAGCCAACCCGCACAAAGACAAGAGGGCATCACTGCTCCCATAAAGGCAGGAAGGAGTCCAGAGTTCTCCACCCACAAATTACTATTCTTCCGAGCCCTGGTCACAGAGGGCGTGACAAACACAAGGAGGGTCCGTAAGGCTCTTAAATTACAGGAGACAGATCCTCTTATCTTCTCAGGTCCTTTTCTCATATAACTGATATCTAAACGCCACAGGGAGAAGGACTTAGGAAGGGAAAGTACTCCTTTGGTTTTCCCTCCAGTTTGGTGTAGTGGTTAAGTGTGCGGACTCTAATCTGGGAGAACCGGGTTTGATTCCCCACTCCTCCACTTGCACCTGCTGATGTGACCTTGGGTCAGTCACAAGCTCTGGCACAGCTGTCCTTGAAAAAGAGCAGTTTGTGTCAGAGCTCTCTCAGCCCCACCCACCTCACAGGGTGTCTGTTGTGGGGAGGGGAAAGGAAAGGAGTTTGTAAGCCGCTCTGAGACTCCAAGTGAAGGGCGGGGTATAAATCCAATCTCTTCTTCTTCTTCTTCTTCTTCCTCCAGACCATGTGGACAAGAGAGAGCTAGAATTCCAGGCCAGTGATGAGTCTGTCGCAGTCCAGATGCAAACAA